ATACAAGTAGAATAATCATTCCGGAATAATGAGAGGACTGCGCGGACAAAGTTTCTTAAAAAAAAAACTCGATAAATCCGTCAATTACTTGTTAATAATGCTTTAGTTTCGACTTATATAATCATCTGTATACCAAGTTGATTTTGACAAGAGATTCAACTGGAGCCATGCTGAATATCTCGTTTATGATTTTCTTACTCAACCGAATGTGCTGTGCCAAGCCACGTCATTTTTCACTTCATGAACCGCAGATGAGTTTACGGCAAAATCATGAGTAGTAAAGCAGGGCTAGGCAACATATATATTGCGACATCTCAAATATCTCACCAAGTGAAACATGAGATAGCTTGGTGCAGTACATTCAGTTGCTTATGAACATCATTCAGTTGCGTTCTCTCGTCAAAACCAAATCGGTAAAAATGGGTGTTTCTCGACAATTTAGTGCAATTTAAGTTCAAGTAGAATATAAGTTCGATGGAAACTCTGGAGTGTGACTAGTTTATGAGCCCCAAGGGGGGCGAAACCGGTCGTGGGCTATTGGAGGGTTTTCAGCATCCTTAAGAGTAGTAAAATAAGTCCATGCAAAACTTTAGTTTTTTAAGAAGCTAGAAACTTCTTCCATTTCACCCAGCAATGCATGTAATTCGATAAAAACTCCTAAATAACAAACAATGGTCGTGCATTCTATAGATTGTTACTTTCATGTTGATGTTTTAGATGTCTCACGAAGCATTGGACGAGACTGTCAATCGATATCATTTCCATCTATGTCGAAACGGGTTTGAATTACCGTAGAACAGGGAGGTACTTATTTGTTTCATCATGCAGGTTCTAGGAGGGATATTTAGAAACAACACCAGTCGACTGATGTTTTAACCTTACAATATGTCGCAGAATTCAGGGACATTTACCCGTAGATGCGGAACCAGGCGAGCTGGCATTTTTCCAACATTCATGTCACGTTTGTTTGCTCACTTTCTATATAATACTCATTTGGTGCTCGGACATAACTTTATCAGCTTGCAAGATTTTCTTGCGCAAAAAATAAGTAACGGGTTTGGACAAACCGATTGTGAAAAAGACTATTTTATCAACTCCATGTTCTATATCGAAAGAGTGGGGCAGATGTCCGTATGTGTGTGTGGGTGGGGGTTGGTCCTGTAGACACTAGTCTCGGTGGGTCCACTCTAAAATACAACAAATCTGCATTCTCGTCCTCTCAGGTTGAACCGAAACGCCCCGAAGACTAGTATTTTCAGAGGTAGCTATTAAAACGGTCGATTGTGGAGATTTTACCGGTTTCTAAGACTGTGGTCAACTTTCGTGCCAATCTAAAATAGATCATCCATATTTCCGTCTTCTTAAATGATAATGCAGAGGAAATGTAACGAAAATTCAACTGAAAGTCATCAACATGCAGCCACTGGGAGTTGAAACTTGGATCACATTGAATTCATGCTTCAGTTGTCACTGCAATTGTTTTCACCTGAATTCACACAGTAAACTCGCTATTGAATCTGAGGCTCGTGGATACGGATTATCATGTACCAACAATGTACCCTATTCGTATCTGTGTACTGACAGTCTTCTTATCAATGGAGATTTCGAACTGTGAGTGAAAACAATCTATGCTGAGAAGTCGAGAAGCACTTTACAGCTCTTTCATTGGGAGGATCAGCATAGTGCATCTCACGTAACTCCAATGGGGCGTTTTAAACATGTTAGTATTTTGAACATTAAAAATTTTGGCCAAGTTGGTCGATAGTGGGGCCAGCTCACACTTTAGTGAATGATGATTCCTAATGACAATGACACAACTTTCCTGCGTTCCAGGATGGTTTGGTTTCATTCATATCACTGAATCCTCTGCAAAACTTCCAAATCTCCGCACACCATTGTTGATCTGTAAGTGGCTCAGAGGAAGAATAAAATTAACTCGATATGTAAAAATTCCATTCGAGAAGTGATCATTAGAGGAGCCACGTGTGCCACTTGATATAGATGCTGTGATTGAAGGATGAGTTACAGTACATAATGTCTAGAGGCGAGCTGATGACACTGCTTTTCAGCCACTGTTTGTGGAACCGTAAGGTTTCCAAACACCTAGCCGGAAGGTCGCGCGTTCGGAACGCTCTGCAGTTTAGCGAAATGCTTACTAACGGTTATCCTCAGTAATGATGAAGCAGCTATGCAGTACTTTGCGGTTTTTCAGCTTTGGAAATCCCAAATATGAACGTGTAATTGTTTCCTCCGTTTATTCCCACTTTGCTATTTTAATTTATGTCAATCTTTTTCCTCATTGTGAAGAACAAGCTACACGTGCCTTAAACAAAGCAAAATAACGCAGTGTTACGTCGCGACCACCAGCATGTAGCTGAATGTGGTGCACAAAGGCGGCTCAAGTTAGCTTTCAAGTACAACTTAAGAATGACCAGGAGATTCGGAACTAGGTTTATCTAATGAGTCGGAAACCGACCAGGGCATTGGTACTAGGCTTTCCAACAGTTCCCACCACATCTGAAAACTTAGTTCAATGTTCTGAACACTGTTTCAGCTAGGACATGAGTAGCTGTGTGCAACACATTCGGCCGAAGGATACGGTGGTCAGGAAAACCCAGCTGCGTCCCTAGGTGCAAATCAGAAAACAGTTCACGATTTTTATTTCTCACATTCATGTGGAACAATTTGTACCTGATCAGGCAAACAATCACTAGGCTATTAATAAGCACCGTCAGCCTAGTGTTCAACAACTGGGACTTCTGTCCCAAAGACCTAGGTTCGAATCCTCACAAGAGCTCTTTGGAGTCGATTGCTGTTTCCCCTGGAATTGTGAAAAGCAAAAGCTCTAAATGTACATCCATTTCGTCATCAGCCAAGACTCAAGACAGTGGCTGTCTGTACGGATTTAAACCTCCAAGTCTGGTCGTGGTGGGTGTTACCGCTAACCTAGAACATCAAAATCTTTGTAAACTTCCATTTCCTTATGATTTTTCTGTGTTTCTTTGCATCCTTATCTGACTATTTTTGTGTAATGGTCGTACTTATTCGGTTTCGTGCATTTCCTAAATTCCTCTCAAATATCACACAAGTTTCCATTGGCTAATCCTCAGTCACTTACCAGTACAATTATGATGCTTTCAAAATGATAACATACACAACATTTTGGTATAAACTTATCGTTTATTCCGTATTGGAAAGCCATCCAGTGGTTTTATGGTTGTTCACAATGTTGGAGCAACAATGAACTTTTGATTCAAGCTTTAATAATGCGGGTAAAGTTCGCATGTGCCGAAAATCTTAGAAGTATTACTTAGCTGTTACATTCTAATTGGGCATTATCAGCGCCGCACATCTCACAATCTCCATGTAGACTTGGATCGATGAACTTCTTGCTTGTAGTTGAAGGCTAAACTAGTCAACACGTGAACACGTGATGCAAATTGTGTGAGTGAAGGATGAGTGACCACGTAAACTGTCAAAGTACTAATCAGCCACTCGTCACCGAATAGTGTAATCTTTGAACAGCAGTCGGCAACTGCTTTGAATCTCTATAGAGATTCGTGGAATGCGCCCCGCTGAAAAATGGCAATAAGAATGGAACAGCTCTGCAATGCCTATTGGTTTTCTTTGCGTTAGTTGTAGGACGAAATATCACTTGAAGGATTCCAAAAAATCAAACTGGGAACGAAAAATGGCTGCGGCAATTGTTAGCTTGTGAACAAAAATAGCACAAGGAAAAGAGAAATATAGAACCCAGCATCCGCTGTCACACTAATCCATCTTTATGCGGGAAAATTGTCGACAGTTGGAGTATTGCTTAATTGGGGTTTTAATCCTAAAAGGAGAATAGGATGTCATACAAATAAGAAAGCCCTGTTTTCTATGGCTTCTTTGTTTACAGGCGGAGTTGGAAGCACATGCAATATCAATAAGTCGGTATTCTGGGAAAACTTACTACGGTGGGTAGTATATTTTTTAATTCAGATAAACTGCCACTCGAATTCTCTCTGCTTCTCTTTAGAGGAACGTTTCTTTAGAGGAACCAACATCCTCTGAGCGAACGCGTTCTCACTGAATAATTCCTTAATGTACCTGGTGTTTGTTGTGAGTTGTACGCCATAGCTGACAACGGCAAACAACCTGTTCGTTTGCAAACTATTTACTCAGATTTTATTGTTTTACTGCAGTTAACAAACCTGTTTTTGTTGTTCGATGGTCTAACCCACTGTGACGAAAATCTACGTACTGTTGAAGCATTGGTCACACAAACAATGAGGCACGTTCCTAAACAAACTGAATATCGCTTGTCATATGATGACATGTTTTGCACAGAAAAACCGCGGGCTTTTTCGGTTAGTTTGGCAAAAGTTCAAGGTCACAAAGGTAAGCGTCAACCAACTATAGTGCAGGCATTTCGATTATTACGAAGGGTTATGTTAGGAATTCGGGACGATTTCTCTTCACTTCCTGATAAAATTATATCACTGTGAAAGTTGTGCACTACAGTGAAAAGGAAGCTGAAATTTCCCACCCTCACATTGTCGCAAGTACGGATGATTCTCGTAAGAAGGGAATACACCTTTTCTCAGGTCTAAAAAGTGGGGAATTTGAGACTCTTTTGCTTTGATGTATAGCTTAGAAAATACTTTTCCTTCAAAAATAATTATGTATCATAGTTGGCAGTTGTTAAACTTACATAGACCATCGCTACTGTCCCGGACAGAGAAACCGTTTCTATATAGTATATTTTGGATATCAGTGTCGCATGATTTACGTATTTCTCGTCTGAGCATTGAAAAATGTCAGGGATTATGCGCTTTTGGATCTTTTGGTGCTCTTTCACAACGATGACTACCGAGCGGTATTTTCAAATGCTGTGACTGCCGTTTTTATTAGTACCCTATGTCACGTGAAAATGTTCCACATGCTGACAGGATGGAACGACCTTGAACCAGAGGGGGACAAAAAACCCAATGAAGAGGCGTGCCTCGCTCACTCACGAATACTCCATGCCGGGTGATGTACTGAGCGTTTCGGATGCCAACGCTGATACGAAAATCGACCCACGTCTCGTCCGTCCTGTGGGAACCGCCATGGTGGCTGGTGCATCGCCGATTCGTGTAGTAGACATTGGTTTACTGGAACTGAAATACAGAAAAATTGAAGACAATGATGAATCTTTGTGGTATTTTACATTAGACGGAAGAAAGCAAACTTGCTTACTCAAGGAAAACAGCGCAAACACCACGACTAGGATTCTTGAAAAAAACTAAGTTTCCCAAGGGTGAAAAAGCAGTAGATGTTCTTTAGAACCAAAAAAAAATTTTGATCACACTCACAAGACGTCACAAAATACTGATGCAGTTAATCAGGAACGAGGTTGTTGTCATTCATGAATTTCGCTGTGACCTATTCTGCGGATGGAGATTCGACACGAACGTGAAGCCCAGAGTGCTCCTTCGTGTTCACTTCTAGGCTCCGATAGCGTCATTAAAATCTCATCTACACAGTGACTGCTTCTAAAGATTTTTCACGTTGTGACGTCCCAGAAATACAACCGTATGGTAGCATCCTATCTGAATGGGTTATAACATTACGCACCTGTGCCTGCCCACTCTCAAAGGAACTACCAAAGAGTGATTTGGAAAGGACGGGTGGTTCTAAATAACTAACCAACTGAAACAGTCAGGGAAGCAGAAGACTGGACTTGTTCTGATGCCATGTCCCCATCGACCAGGGTCAAGGTCACAGCTCTTCCGTGTTCTCACAGTTAGGCGTAGACGAGAGGGCTTAAAGTCGGAGGTTATCGGTTCGTCAACCAAACGGGGAACCAAATGCACTGTGCACTTAAACGGCTAATCCTAGGTGAAGGTCAGTCTTGGTTAACAGGGATTGTGTAAAGATACGCACGCAACTACGCAGGACTCATTAACAGACATCACTCATATCACCTCACAGAATGCATTGACCATGTCACATCGTTCAGTGACGCAACCTGATTTCCAATTACAACGAACAAACCATTTATTCTAGTTCTTTCAGTATTTGGTTGACGGCACTCCATGTACTAACCTTAGTAGATTCCGGTGGGTAAACGGGGAATGAATCCGTTCCTACTCTGGACTGAGATAAGCTCACCACAGTCCAAACTCAATTACACAGTCTGTGCAAGCAGAGCACCACACATGTGCCAAGTCCCAGGTGGGGAACTGAGAATGTTTGTGACTTGCTAAACATAAAACTCAATTTGTACGGGGACTTGCAAACGTCGCTTGATCTGTTGTGCGTACAGCGACGTTCACCGTTATCATTAGCACATCCTTTACAATACGTCAGTAGAACCGAAAGGTGCGCACCAACCCCCGCCAAAGTACGATCATGTGGGGGCTAACATCACACTCCCCATCCAACAATTACATGGTTTTGGAACTTCAACATGAAAGAAGTACTCTTTTGCATCTACCGTAATTTTGGGAGCTGGTGAATATTCGAATAAAAGTGAATGGGGCGACCTCTTGCTTCTTTCAACTTATGTACCCATAATGAAAAAGACTGGTGAAAATATAGGACATAGTGTGCAAAATTTGCAAGGGATTTACAGCGAACAAATGTCGCCAAAATGTTCGAGAGCCGAGAACACAACAGTCTGGTTATAATCCACTCGGGTTAAAGCAATTTTCAAGTTAATTCCTGGTGATATTAGTGGTACCTATTGTCAAAGAGATGTTTACAACGGCACCGAAATATTGAAAGTGTTAGTGGTTTACTATGGACCTGTTCAGTGAGCAAGAAATTGCAAAAAATGTTGTCTGGGGATGTTTCTGTTCCAAGGTGGCCGCAATTTCCATTTTTGTCTCGGTAGTGTACATAAGTAGTCGTAAACATCATGAAGTAATTGGAAATCATTCCGAATGAGGATACTGTCAACTGAGCCACAACTGTTCCATTGATTCGTGAACTTAAAGTTTAGGTAGATGAACGCACATGGAGAAAGAACGAATTTCACAGTGCTAAGAGAGTTTGCATTCTGATAGATTTCAATTTTTACTCACGACGTTTCTTTTTGAATCATTGTATGCTCCGTTCTGCTTACCTGGTCATCAAATCAGTATGTATTACTGAGGAGGCACATTCTAGAACTCATCAAAAGCATCCTGTAAAACCGCTCTTTGTCACTTTGAAGACTTCCAACTCATAATGCTATCATATCTGTTGCGTTGTAGCCAAGCAAGTTCTGCTCTCAATTTTATTCGGAATATGCTACTCATAGGGTTGCTGAAAATTCTTCGACCTTATTTAGGTTCATGAAGTGGGCGCAGTTCCGACGTTCCTGCCTTAAATTTTTGAGGTGTCAGTAACCTTGGGTATTGTCTCGAATAACTGTACTGCTACTCCTCATGTCATGCCCTGAGGTAACCTTTGTACATCACGTTTGGTTGAAATATATTACTTGACTTTCTCTTTTTACTTGTTATTTATTTATTTCAGGCTAACATCCAGCGTTATATTTCTTATAGTTAGTTCAAAATTGTTCGTCTTCTAGCAAGTGTGGCTTATTCTGCTCTGTTTATCATGCTTTGGTTTTATCGGCTTGACGCCACAACGAAACCCTCGTGTTATTTATTCCCGTTTCTTTCCGCTTTCCAGTCTCCACTGGTCACTGTTATTCACATAGTTTGCGTAGGCAGTTGTCGTCACAGTCTGGCCCAAAGCGATGATTGACTTCACGCCTGATTCATCGTTAAGCCAGACGCTGATGACTGTCACCTTTATTTTAGTTTGATTCACTAGTAACCGGTGGGCTACGAAGCGTTCCGTTTTACCCACTCCCGTGATTAGCAACGTGACGGTTAGGGCAGGTGATTAAAATGTAGTGACAATGTGTCCCCACGTCAGAATGTCCGATCCAGTATGAGTTACTTTGACTCTTGTTTATATATATATATATATATATATATATATATATATATATATACTTCACGTTTTGTAAGATTGTTGTTACGCGGCTTACAATCTTCACCTGGAGACCGTATTAAAAGATTGGATAGTTTGCAAGGGCTGCACAAAACCCAAAGGCGACAATTCAGTTGCTTGATCCACATAATTGTTGGCTACTTCAGCGACTGAGTACGAAGAACATAGCTGGAGTGGAGGGAAATTAGGTTCATATTAAATAAGGAGTATTTATATAATCCGGCGTCTCAGCAATTTCAAAATGCATAAAAAGTTTAAAGTGAAGTTGGAAGAACAGTTGCATCTATGCGCTCATGTTTTGAAGATGCAAGATTTGACTTCTTAAACAAACCAGTTTTGTGCCAGGACGTATGATGTGATAATGTTTTCACTAAAGTCCCTTTACACATTTCTGCTGCTCTCAGAAACAAACAGTTTGCCTGTTTTCCAATATTATGGAGCGCATTAAATGGTGACAGACTGACAAAAATGTAGGAAGAGATTTATTTGTTGAATAAGAGTGACTTTCAAGGTCTCTGCTTACAGTCTTATCAGCGGTAGACTTTATCTGCAACGGAGTTAAATCTAACATCCTTGGGCCAAAAAAATGAGCGTTTTACTCTACGCGGCTGTTTTGAGAGTTCTGAAAAGAGTAACCCGTTTACCATTCAACTTAGAGACTGGATTTCACATCTCACTCATTTGTGATTTGTTAACCTCATATGCTACCTAAACACGAAAGTGTCCCTCAGCGGTTGAACTGTCTTTCCCATTGAGTTGTACGCGAAATAAGGTCATTCAGTAAAGTTAATTCTGCCTGACACATATGGTATAAACGAGCTTTCAAAATTTTACAGACAGGAAACTACTCGATGCCTGTACTCCCAGCAATTTCTACGTTCATTTGAGTCAAAATTGCGAATGGAAATTCTTAGGCAAATATGCATGGTGAATCTTTAGTTAGCGTAAAATTTCTGGATAGCCTAAAGAGTTTCGTGGTCAAAACAATGCTATTCTAAAGTTCTTTTAAAAATGCGAATTGCCCTTGTTAGAGAGACCATTTTGTCAGACGTTTCACGGACGCAGCTACTGCCACTTTCACAGTAGTCGAATCAGAATCAAATTGGTTTGATATGGTTCACAACCAATGATATGGCTTAGATCGTCGGTTCAGTAATTTCGGGGTTTTCCTTAAATGCGGTATGGGACAAGGAGAAATACGGTCTATGAATAGCTTTTTGTAATGCATAATGTCATCATTTTGTGGCTCGTGTTTACTAAATAGTTGAGAAACCCAACGGAGTACTGAGCATTTGGAATAAGAACAAAGCGAGTTTGAACCTTAAGGCCTTCTAGACAATAGTACTTAAGATTCACATATCCGGAGGACAGTGCGAGGAGATTACTTAATTTTACCAAAGACTTTGTCATCTAAGTGGCGTCAGTCTATGATGGAAAGTGGAGAGCATCCCGCAAATATCCACCCTTGTTGGATGTCAACAACTGCGCACGCTCTGCAAATCTGAAAGGAGATTTAAAACCCCTATCTCCTGATTGGCAGCTGTAATCTATGCTTATTGGATAGAACGAAGTATCAGTGAAAGAAAAATGTCCCTTTGGCAAAGGGCAGCAAATAAGCAGTTAGAAGCCATTGGACAAAATATTAATGATCTCAGCAATGATCTCAAAGTGATGATCTCAACATTCACAGTTGTCCTCTTGAACTTTCCAGGAGTTCCGTGAATATTTAGCAATAATGAGGAAACACTGCAAAGCTGTTCAGTGGTTTCCGTACCAACCTTCTTCTTTCATTGGATGCGGAGATGGAGCGCTGATACCTAATCGAACACTACCCTCATATTTCACCAGTGGTATTTGACTGAAGGCGTGACCTACTGTCATTCGAGCAGAATTTGACCATATTCATTCTCCAACCACAAAACCCGGTCTGGTTGTTCAAGCGTTGATTGACTTCTGAACCAAGAGATNCCGTACCAACCTTCTTCTTTCATTGGATGCGGAGATGGAGCGCTGATACCTAATCGAACACTACCCTCATATTTCACCAGTGGTATTTGACTGAAGGCGTGACCTACTGTCATTCGAGCAGAATTTGACCATATTCATTCTCCAACCACAAAACCCGGTCTGGTTGTTCAAGCGTTGATTGACTTCTGAGACCAAGAGATCA